ATGTATTGCAAAGCCCAAAAGCATGAATCCCACACGTATGTGCAAACTGCGGGCATAATAGGACAGCACCATATCAACATACAACTCAAATCAACCATAGCATAACATAATTAACTTATAGGACAAAAAGGATCTACGTAGACATATAGAAGATGCAAGAAATCATTGTATAATAATTAATAGCATCAAACACCATGTTCAACAGAGGGATTACAGCGGGTTGCAGGAGAGTGGACAACTGAATAAAGACGGAGGGAGGTGATGGAGACGTTGGAAGATGATGGAGTCGCTGGAGACGATGGCGGTGATGACAGATGTGAAGTTCCTCGTGATGCTAATTACTCTATGTCCTATTATCCTGAACGTGAAGTTCCTGGAACTTCAGTTGATTTACTCTTGGTAGAATCTTCAACGCAATCTCCGAACCTTCACATACTCGTCCTTGGCAAACCATGATCACTCTTGGTTGCTCGGACCGACACCTAACCCCCTAGTGAGCGTGCAGCTCACAAGAGCAATATGCATAAGCTTCGTATCAATCTAGTTATTCATGATGCTCAATCACTTAAATAAATTTGCTTTGGGGTATTCCCTTTGTGAAATCTCTCAATACTCTGGGTTGCTCAGATAGAGACTCTTAGTTCAAATGGAGCAACCAACCATTGCAGGTTGGGGTGTGATGGCTATTTATAGCTCGAGCAATCCTAAGGTGTGAAATGAACAATAGGGGCATGTGCCACACAACGATAAACTGACATGTCACAACGGTTCGATTTCAAACTCACGCGGCAACTTACTTGCAGCGCAAGTCAAGGTGACTCTACTACTTGTGATTTTATCTCAAAGTTCAGAAGAACTCTGTCTCTAACTTAAAGGAAGAAACACAATGCATAAAAAGATTTCTCTCGACTTCGCTCAGAGATATAGGTTTATGATTGAGTACACAATGAAGACCTAAATCTCAACTAACTTGGACCCCCTTATTGTCTGGTTTTCCTTATGACTCAAATGAAAGAAATGAAGCTAGAGAAAGACATACATCTTCTTGCCGAACAACATACCGGTATGATTCCGCTCAACAACATTTTTTAGGGGTCTTCTCCCACACACAATCTTATCAATAGCATACTCCTCAATGGCTCAGACAATCTTGCTCAAAGATATAACAATATTCTCAATGCTACCCAGAGACTTTTTACTCCGTGTGCACACAAACATATTAGTCCCTTAACAATTTGGTCTAACAATTTTTAACACACTACCGGGGCACTAGATGGATCTACAAAGTGTTATGGACCATGTCTTATTACTGGAAAGATTGGAGAACCAGCTTATTGTTTGGATTCTTCCCTCCTTCAGCCGAATTCATCCAGTACTTCATGTCTCCCGGCTTAAGCAATGTGTGGCTCCTCACAACCAGGTACAATTAGTTCTACCCCCTCCTGATGCTCTTCTTCAGGACGAATGCATCTGCTTGTACTTGGGAAGATCTAGATTCGTTGCGCTAGTAGTTTCCTCAAACAGCGGCTTGGGTCAAGCCGTTACTCAAGAAGGGGGATTGCCAAAGATGCCATCTCCAATTTAAATGATGCGACGGCGGCCCAGTCTAGACGCAAGACGAGACTACCAACCCGGCTTGTAGGTCACGAATGAGTCCAATGAACCCTATAGCGTTTACCATATCCTAAACGTTTACCATATCCTATATACCTAAATAGTTGATCCCCACTATCTTCAATTCTCTCACCATGCAAGTATGCCACCTCACCATGCCACCATGCATGAAAAAAGACCCATGTTAACATGCACCATGCATACTACTCATATTTAATAAATATTCAAAAACTATAGAATAATCAAAGAAAATAAATCATGTGTATTCTAATTTCAGATCACATATTGTTAGTTTAAATATCAATGTTTCAATGTACAACCAAATCTCATTGAAATAACTGCAAGTAATTCCTACAACACCGCATGGGGTATTATCTCTAGTGTACTCGAGGAACTTAGTGAAGAACGCATTGGCCTCTCAATCCGTTTGTAATTGTACTGGAACAGAAGTGAGGGGTGGCGATGGGGGGATTCCTCTAATAAAACCAATTAGTTCTCTGTAGCCATGAAACCCGAGTTTCTAGCCTAGTTCCAGGAGCACCACTCGTGTGGGGGCCATCCCCGCCTACCTAGAACTCTCGTTCATGGAGCACCACTCCGGTAGGATGATGCGGGCTCCTAGGCCCAGGCCGCTGCAGATCTATCGCAGTCGTCATTGTTGTCTACACACATAGTGGTATGCAATCGTGCACAGTGGTGATGGCGGCTTGCCGATGTCATCCATGCGCGAGGTTGTCGGCACGCCCCCCGCCCCCCACCACCAACAACCAGTGACTGCCTAGAGGATTTGCAGGTTCTTTGTGTTCGATCCCCTCCGAACACGAATCCCCTCCTTTCTACAATGCACACATGGAAGAGCTCACCATGAGAGCCGACGAGGTAGACACCCTCAGGCTCTAATCCTCCACCGTGAGATTTCCATGCCCATGGGGGATCCTCTCCTTCTATGACGAGGAGATCACCTCTGCAATTTGGAGGACAATGGAGAGGGGAGGAGATTGCTAGATGCGCCCGCGCCAGGCGTGGCTTTTCTCCCCGACATATCTAGGCATGGTTTTCTCTCCCAGGGAAAGGAAGAGGATCTGGGAAGAATATCCCAGCGAGCGAGCAGACCAAATGTCCGGAATATCCTATTCGACGCATTCTGCGTCGAACTGTCGACCTTTCGCATAGACCTGGCGATGGAGCGATGACCTGGGCCGGCCCATTACTATTTGCGGCCTTTCTAGAGTTTCCCAGACGGTTTTAGGAACCTTCTAGAAGGTTCCCTAAACCGGTTTTTTTATTTATTTTATCGGTTTTACTGTTTCTTTCTGTTTCATTTTCTTTTTTTTCCTCTTTTGTTTCTTGGTTTTGTTTTTTTGTCTTGTTTTCAAGTTTCTTTTAAAAGATCATGCTTAGAAAGTTGTTCAAAAATTAAGAAAAAATGTACGTGCTTTTAAAAGACATTAAAATTTTCAAATATGGTTCTGTTTTAGAAAAATTGTTCATACTTTCAAAAAATGTTCACAGTTTTAAAAATTGTTCATGAATTTCAAAAAATGTTCTTGTTTTACAAAAAATGTTCGGAATGTTTATGTTCAAAATTTTCATAACTTTTCAGAAAATGTTCGTGACTACAAAAAATGTTCTCATTTTCAAAAATTGTTCACAAATGCAAAAAAAATGTTCTTGTTTTACAAAAATTGTTCGGAATGTTTTTGTTCAAAATTTTCACAACTTTTCAGAGAATGTTCGTGACTACAAAAAATGTTCTTGTTTTCAAAAATTGTTCACAAATGCAAAAAAATGTTCAGGCGTTCCAAGCAACTTTCATAACTTTAAAAATGTTCAGGTTTTCCAAATAGTTTTCATAAATTTAAATCTGTTCTCCGTTTACAAAAATTATCTGAATATTAAAAAGTATTCACGTTTTCAAAAAACATGTTACGTTTTTTCTCCTTTTTTTATTAATTTTTTGGTGTTTCAAATTGTGTTCATGGTTTTTTAAACATGTTCGCAATTTTGAAGTAGTGTTCGCATTTTGAAAATAATTTTCAGGACATAATAATTATAAATGTTCAGGTGTTTTATAATTGTTCATGGTTTCCCTTGTTTGTTCCCGTGTTTTGAAAAATGTTCGCATTTTCAAAAGTTATTCGTAGTTTGGAAAATGTACTCGTTTACAAATTTGTTTCCTTTTTCCAAAAAATGTTTGAGATTCCCAAAAAATGTTCGAGTCTTTTCAAATTTTGTTTGATTATTCAAAAAGCATTGACTTTTGTGAAAAAAGAAAATTTATGTTCGAAATTTCAAAAAAGGATTAAATATTTCGCTGCCTATAGGTTGTATATAAACTGAGCTGCCAGATTTAGACAACAAAATTTATGTCTTACAGTGGGTAGGGACGTGGTTCACTAACGTTAGATCATGTGTTCGATCCTACTCACGTACGGTTTTTTGGGAGCTGTTCTTTAAGATTTGCCGCTGCTGTTTGGTTCTTTAAAAGTCGGGCTGTTATGTTTACATGGAAGTCACTTTGTCACACTGGCTAGCAGCTATAGCTCGGCTGTGTTCAGACACAAGAATCGCACGCGCGGCTCACTAAGCCCGCCAACTTGGTTCCCTGTGCGAAACGGCTGCAACCTGACGCAGAACGCGTCAGATAGGACATGACGCAGAACGCGTCAGATAGGACCTCCCCAAATGTCCCGGTGGTTTTGCACGGGCCGAGTTTGCCTCGTGGGCTATGTGCCCTGGTTTTTGACGGGGACCCCCCTGGGATCACGGGCTACCAAACTAGCCCTCGATGTTATGGGCTCCCCCTACGCCCTTTTTTATGGTAGTCGATAAGGCTCCACAGGCTCCCGCAGACACATCAGAGCAGCACCACCCGCTGGTTGGTCGGCCCGAGCATGAGCTTGTCCATGGCCATATGATGACCAACAGATGATTTTTTTTATTTTTTTGCAACAAGGGTCTTAGGCAAGCTTTTGCGACAACACCTTCATTGCAAAAAAAAAAAATCTACAGAAACTCTGATTCAACAAAGAAAAAACTACAACAAGACCTCTATTGCAAAAAAAAATTAGCTAGCGGAGTAGCACACCCCAAACAATAGACGATTGGCCACACAAGCGGCCCTCTTATTTTATCATCAAACATGCATCCCGGGTAGCAAAATAACCATGTGTTATACTGCCATCTCATACCTTAACTTGGAAGGCTAGTGCAGTTCATACAGCATGAAGCTGCCTTCACATGAAACTATGAGTACATGATATATCGTGTACCTCCCTTTTTGGGGAATTATGCATATTTCAGGAATAATTTGGATGATAGTGCAAACTTCATACAAATATCATGTCTCATGAGCTATGATAAGGCGTGGGTTTGTAATCATCTTCTTAGAAACTGGCATCCTCTGTTGTCGGCCTCCTCAAGAAATAACGCAAGCTATTCGCGAGAACCTGCAGGAATGAACTAAATGAGAAAATACACTTTGGTGACCAGCGAAAATAATAGAGATACATTTGGCTCTAATCAGGATGGTCTGCTACTTCTATTTTCCCCTTTTCACTAGATCAAAGATAGGACTTCTATACATGTCCCGGTTCCATGGTAATCTGATGCAACACCCAAGAGATAATTGCATGCATGATGAGTTTACCTGTTGCAAAGCCTTGATTAATGGCCTGCCCCGGTAACTGACATGGAATTTTGCCTTGGCCAGTAGCCCCTACAAGATACAAAATCTCAGCAGAAGAACAACTTTTGAATACAAAATCCCCAAATGACTGGTGTCACCTCAGTGTCAAATTCTCCAGATTGGACAGTGATATTGATGTCAGCAATGATCTTAACTAGATCAACCAACAACCCTGGACGGTCAGCTGATTCCACAACAAGTAAACTGAAATGGAACATTGGGGGATATCAAATCAATGCGATCTTATACTTATGGGGAAGAATAACAATATAGCAAACTGATGATCTTACTGCGGTCAAGAAAGCAAAGTTCAGATAATGCTAAGGGATATCTTATAGCCTATAGGCAATGCATTTTCTTATTCAATGCCGTCCAAAAACAAATCAGGTTCTCACAAAAAAAAAACTGGTCATAGTCATTCGAGATGACAGCTAATCTCCAGTCAGATATCTTCTTTAGGACACAAGCTTGATCCACAAAAGAACCAAGAACGAATCATTATATTGCTTCTAGCCCCATAACAAGTACTCCCTCCGATCCATAATAAATGTCGCAGTTTTGAACTAAGGTTAGTTCAACCTCAGTTCAAAACTGCGACACTCATTATGGATCGGAGGGAGTACTTTATTAGGATGAAAGCCAAAGTACATGAACTTTTCTTGTATTATGAAGAATAAAGCAACAGGGAAGAGTACCTTCTTTCAGGACCATCGTCATAGATCTCTATGTGAGTTGCTATGTCCACATCAACCTGCCGATTTACATGCAAAAACTATTTACATATAGAAAAAAATTACGAATATCGAGCACATTAATTATGATGTGACATCAGACTGCAATTTCATGGGCATAGTATGAGCAGTTCATCCAAATTCGTGTACTCAAAACATATGAATGCATTCTGCAACAAGGCACTATCGAAATCATGTGTACCATAATTACTTTTTATATGGTCAGGTTTAGCAATCAATCGGGTATATATAAATTTACAGACAAGGCATTCCTATCATGAAGTTTACTATTACTCCCTCCGTTCCTAAATATAAGTCTTTTTAGAGATTCCACTATGGACTACATACGGAGCAAAAAGAGTGAATCTACTCTCTAAAATATGTCTACATACATCCGTATGTAGTTTGTAGTGGAACCTCTAAAAAGACTTATATTTAGGAACGGAGGGAGTAGAACATAGTGTCTTGTAAACCTTCATGTGTTGTTCCTTCTCATAACACAAAGATAAATAATATGGTTTTAAGGTCGTCCATATAATTGAGATGTTTCCAGGTATTCAAGGTCGATAAGATAGAAGGTACAGACTCTTTGATTTATGGATGGATTTAAACAAGTACCACTTCCGTAGGGGGCTCTAGCCCAAAAGTTGCACCCATGGCCAATTGACTGCTAGCTTCCTAGTGTCAAATAAATAAAGACGCAGACGTTAGTTTACGAGATTTAAGTTAAGACATCTTAGCAAAGAAAAAAAGGGTCGAGGGAAATTACAGGATGATACTCAAGCATGTTGTTAATAATTGTCAGTCTTACTGCTTCTAACAACTCTGGGTCATCAATTTTGCGACCAGTTGACCTGTAGAGTATTGCTCTCACTCATTCTAGACAAGAAGTGATATGTGCAGAAAAGTACAATGAAGAAAGATGTCACATTCTGCTGTTATAACTGGAAGATCAAACTTATATGAGAGATTCCTCAAGCCAAGCTTTGCATATCTGAAATAATAATAAAATGATCCACTTACGACTTTGTTATAGAGAACTTATTGTGCTTGCCAGAAGAATCGAGGCAGACACTAGCTTTCACAACATTTAGCCCTAAATTCCTCAAGGCACTCATCTGCACATAGAACAGAACACCGAATTAATCAGCATTTCATGAATCCAAGATGGTGAAAATAAGAACCTAAGAGTGATGAATGGTAAAGGTAAATTGAAAAGGCAGTGTAAACAACACACAGTATCAAGAAGATCTCCAAGACGGTCACCCAAGGTTACTTCCACAATAGTTGCATCCGGATCTGAGTCTTGATCTATTATAACTTTTGGTGTAGGGACTGTATTACTGTTGCTAGAGCTCCCATTCTGCAAAACAAAGTATCTGCAGTTGAACATGGAGGTTCATCCAATGTTTTGTCGTAAGCAATGCTATCTACCTCAACAGCTGCAGGCGAAGCAGCTCTAGGAACCCTCAAAGCTGGAGACAATAATCTAAACAAAAGAAAAAATAGTTGTAATAATACACATGTGCAATATATATTGAGAATTGAAAGAGGTTGTGATGTAATAAGACAAAATGTTAAAGAGCTTAATGAGAAAAAACAATGAATAAAAATATTTCATCAAAATAACATCAATGCACTGTGTAGCAACTAGACCACTCACTTGAACCACATGGATGGAAATCATAACAGTTTTAACACCAGAAAGTGTATTAACAGCAGTTTAAATATATTTAATCAGTTGATGGAAACAAATTGATTCAAAGAAAGCAAGTATTCACACGGTGCAGCCAGTGTTTATAACACAATAAAATAGAATGAAGGAAACGCTTATAACCTATAGTTAGTTGCAACAGACAAGGGTACATTTTTCCAACACGACAAACCAAAGAATATAGTATCAAGCTTGATCATATCAGTCTGCACAAGAAACTATAACACATAAGTTCACAAATCCAGCAAGAAAGAAAGAAAGAAATATATTGCTGGCGTGACTACCTGCAAATGTAATCAACCCCTCAGCACCATAAAATTTCGGTCAGCTAAACTTATTACCACTGCTTTAGCTAAACTAGCTGTGACGAAAAAATGAACTGACTTATCGTAATCATCACTGCGCCCCTAAAGTAATTAGCGCTACCATCAGTTCAACAATAAAATGACCCAGTGGAACCAGAATTTCACAAAAGCCTCACAGTTTTAACCAGAATTAAACCAACTATGAGGTATATTCTGCAGCTGAAACAAAACAAAAGAGTCTAAGCATTGAGTTATATCATGACGAAATCATTATGTAAGTTAGCACCAAGGATAGCGGATGAATCAAACAAAAAATTCTGCATCCCACTGAACAACACTATTATGCAGAATTCATTTTGAAGGGGCATCCGTTCTAAATTAAGAGCTCGAAACTTTGGAGCTAAGGCTACGAATCTTCGAATCCTAGCACAGCATCTTAGCATCCAAACGGGAAAAAAGACTCAGATTCTAATGTGCCAAAAGCGGAAGGAAATCTGGGCCAGTCTGCTCACCTCAGCTTAGCGGGCGCTGCCGGTGCAAGTGGCCGCCACCCGGCAAGCGGATGGTTCCCGGACGCCGCCGGAAATACGCCGGAACAGGTACGGAGGGTCCCGGCGGCTACGGCGACGGCCATTTCTGGAATCTTCTCCCCCACTCGGCCAAGAAACGTGCGAGGATTGGGATCAAATCTTATCAAATAAACCCGGGGGTGGGGTGGGGGAGGGGAGATGGTGCTACAAAGGAGAGGGCGCTGATGGGATCATAGCGAGGATATCTATGGCTGTCGCGGCGGTTCTATCCATAGGATAGAGAGGTGGAAACGGGAGGTTGGCTCGTGCTCTCCCTCTCGACCTCGCGGCCTCACCTCACCCTCCGCTCCAGATATACAGAGACACTCTCTTCTCTCTCAGTGATGTCCCTTTCTCATGGGTTGGAGAAGTAAGTGGAAAATGAAGGATGAGAGCATCTCCACTAGTGTCCCAAGAAGTGTTCTCAAGTCATTTTTTAGGCGTCCACCGACAAAAAAACGTCACATTCAAATCTTCAGGACCTTACTTTTCGCTGAATTAGACGAAAAATACGGCCGGTGCGCCCAGGCCACACCCAGGCCATCGGGGGGCATCTGAGAGCACTGACGCTTTATTTAAGCCATCCAATTGGCCCACGTCAGCCATCCACCTCTCTCCTCTCCTCTCTCTCCTCTCTTTTCTCCTTTCTTCTACCTACCCCACGCACACACGCCGAGCCGCATGGGAGAGCAAGCTGGCCGTGGCCGTGGCCGGAGCTGGCACTCGTGGCCGGGGCGAAGCTCGTCCGCGCCAGCCTGTGCGTGGCCGAGGCGGAGCTCACGCGGCGGTCGGAGGTCAAGAAGCAGCAGCGGCAGGCCCGGCCAGCGGTGAGGCGGGGCGAGCGCGGCGGGGCGGGGCGCGTGTG